AGATATAATCTCAGGTAATCACTGCGATTATTGCCTAAGATACAATTTTACGCAATCGTTGCGACTATTGCCCAATCTTCTATATCACGTAATCATTGTAACCATTGCCTAAACTAACATTTCACGTAACCATTGTGACTATTGCAAAATTGTTAGAGGTATATTACAAAAAGAAACAGATATCATTGTCATTTCAAACTAAGCTATTTTATAAGAATATTAAGTGCGTTGCTGAATTTGGAAACAAAGCATACTATAATTGTACTTTTGAAACGTAGATGAAAAATTCTCACATCCAAATATTTTGTGATGCATTTTCATCTAAGAATGATACCATTTCAATTCATAACACATTCTATGGCTGGGTGTGTGTGATTTTTTTTAAAGCGACTAACGGTCAGGCACAGAAAAATACATTTAATCTTCTCCCTGAAGTTGATTTAACTGAGGCGGCAAAACAGTATTTGTTAGTAAGTGAAATTACTTATAATCAGTGACGAAATGGATTTTATTCTAAATTCAAGACAGGCAGTGTGGCAAAATAATGCCTAGGATAATCATGGTCAATTTACAATTTGTTAAGAACTTTGTGTACTGTAACGTTTTTCTCACCACGCTCAAATTTGATGTGTAGCATTACTGTTTCGCGTTTTGATACCGACAAAACCGACAAAACATTTTGTCACTAAGTGACGTACATAAACATATGTAAAGAGAAGGGATATAATATTTAGTAGATTTTTTAATCAGATTATTGAATTACTAAGCTAATAATTATTTGAAGTTGCAAGTTTGTGTGTGTGTTTGTTTTGCAAAACGAAAACAAAAATCGGATAGATTTTTTTCTTCTCGTGACCAATGTAAAGTTCATATTTTGTGCAAGTTTCATAGTTTTCTAATGCTCGTAGACTAAGAGTTATAGCAAGTCGTTATAACAAAGAAAGGTACGGACAGGAGTATACATCGAGAGAACAAACCTAGTAATCGTATCTGAATCAATAATCAAGATGAAACGATCACATTTTGCTTAGAGGAAACCAGAAGAAGAGACCAAGAGAACGCAGCTGGTTTAATTCAGATTTGTGTAATTCGAGACAATGAATCGACAATCGTGTGTTCGATACAATGAATTGACAATCGTGTGTTCGATACAAGGAAGCAACAATCGTGTATTCGAGACAATGAACCGACAATACCAAAATAAAGAAGAATATCGTTTCAAATTCTCCATTGCTCAGGAAGGGTAGAAGTCTCTTGCCGTTTCTATGCCCAAATTGTTAACTTTGAACATCAGTGCTACATCCAAATACACGAGAACAAATTAGAGAAAGAGGTGAATAAATACCAGCATAGGAATAAAAAGAAACAAGTGGATTATATCTTCTGGTTTGTGTTTTTTTAACTGTAAATTCAAGGGACTGCCATTTAAGTCTCTACGTTCTGCGTAGATCATCGTGCATGTAAAAGTATATACTAGAATCAATATTCTTTCATTGTCCAAGTTGTAAGAATATTCCAAAAGGAAGGAAGATTCCAAAAGGAAGGAAGATTCCAAAAGGGAGGAAGATTCTAAACGGGCATACTCTTTCCGATATTTAGTGAATGGATTTAGACCATACCGACGACACTTGGAGCGAAGAGGACATCCAGTGTTAAGGAGAATGTCATCGATATAATACAGTCATGGCCCACAATTTATCGTATTATGACGGAATATTTCTTTTGAAATATTATTCAGATAAGGTTGTGAATGTCCCATATTCACCATGAACTGAGCCACGCTTATCTACATGAAAGTGTGACAAGTTTATTTCAACGATTCCTTGAGTTATTTAGCAATGCCTTTGAGTAGAATGCTAAAAATGTTTGGAATGACACAAATGGCCAAAAGTTATTTTCTACACCTTTTTAATGCCGAAGTTAACCATCCTGCTAAGCTCCTACATTTGCCTGACGTTCGCTACTATGACCCTAACAGTATGCACCAAGAAAAAACGAAAACATTCTACGCTTATTACTAAAATCACTCGTCAAACCCTTTTGACTTTTAAGAAGAAATGCTGAAATATTGCCTATCTGATATGGACGTTTACGTGTGCATTAGTCTTTTGAAAAATAAAAACGTTCATGTCTCGGAACAAACTAGCTATTATACTCTCTCAATCATATTTTTCCATCAGTCGACACTATTCCACCAAAGCTTTGCGTTGGTTGCATTATTTGTCTGAAAGTGAAGATAAATGGATACAACACAGAGTTTGGTAGAGAAAAGAACAGTGGAAGTCTTCCTGTGTAATGTCGAGATTTAGAAGAAAAAAAAAACTACTTCGCCTGCGAATTTCAAAGATGTTTATTTCACGGGTGCCACGTCTGCTTTCCTCAAGGAAACCTAAAATGTTCATGAAAGAGTCGTAGGAGAAAACATACCAACTACGACTGAGTTTAGAAAGACAATGATACCATGTGATTTCTCGACAGTTTGTTTGTAGAACGAAACAAT